GTGTAGACTGAATTCTATCAGTCAGGTTGTAATGTAACCAATATTCTAGCTAGCTGGCTATCCATCACGGTGCATATTGATTTGATGGTGTTAGATGGTTGGGGGCAATCTCCAGGAAGCCATCCACCTAGGTTTTGTGCTAGCTGGCACTCACCAGTCAGCAAGGCGTATCTGCAACCTTGAAGGAAATCACTTCCCTCCTGAGGTTCGAACCCGCGTCACCCAGTGCTGCAGTTGATATAATGCCGATATACTTATATATAATCCTGTTATACTAAGATATTGTACAACTAAACCCTAATAATGTTCATATCACAAAACTCGTCGGTATCCATTAAGCTGACAGAAAACAACAGAACAAGTATCCTCTTTCACAGAGATATTTATCCATTTACGTGTTTTAAAAGGCAACACACTAAATACATCATTTCAATATATATCAGAGACGGAACACTTAGAATGTTTGTATAGTCAAAATGAATAATTCGAAAATGGTGCCGTTTACATTGCAGATATTTTCAACATTTCATTTCAACCAGTTAAAACACAAGTTAAATACAGTCAAGAATTCCTGTTCTGCCTTTCTTATGACCAGCAGAGCTTCCAGTAAAGGCCGCATAAATTTAAAACAGAATTATATGCATATATATATATATATATATAAACCAGTCATGTAAAATACATATTATAAAATTACAAAATGTAATTTTGTCTGGTGTGGTCTTACTGATAAAACATGATCAACCAGATGACATATATATATTATTGAAAGATTAAATGTACAATAATTGTACGCTGAATACTTTGAATTATGCGCACATGAATACATAAACAACTAGAGTATAATTACAAACAATGTCACAAATACTAAGCGGGCGGTGGGGAATGTGTGGAGGAAATACATGCATGGAAACGTCTACAATAAATTATGCTATTAGAAGAAATTAGCAGACCTTGGCCAACTGATTTTTATCTGTTTAATTCAGGATGAATGTTATCATGTTGCGTGGACAGAAAGTATTGTTGTTGAAATAATAGAGAAGATTTGTAGCTCAGGTGGATGATTTGCAATTAATAGTGTTCTCTGTGCTGGTTGGTTGGTTGGTTTAGTTCCGGAGCTTTCGTCGTCCACCTTATGAACAAAATCCCCTGTCAGCGCAATTTTCAGCATAAATTGAAATGATTTAAATTTCTTCATGAGTGATATAATTGCGTCTCCCGGTAACCATCTTCATGACATATGTATTGACCATTTTCTACTGACTTGGATTTTAAACTTTCTGGTCACCTGATTTACTTTTTATTAGTTAGTGTATTTCGTCTATATTAACGTGTTTGTTAATTGCATATTCGTTTGAGTACCAGGCTTCTAGGAATTCCCTGGCACTTTTGGTGTTTCCTCTGTCTAAGATTTTGACATTATTGCAATCAAATTTATGTCCATAATTGTCTATATGCATTGATATGAAACGGGAATATATATCGCGTTTTTCACGGCTGATTTGTGTTCTTGGATTCCAATTCGAAGGAGATGCCCGCTTTGGCTGATGTAACGCCTGTTACACTTCATACAATTATGGATATCAATTTTTTTGGGATAATGTCAAAATCTTAGACAGGGGAAACATCAAAAGTGCCAGGGAATTCCTAGAAGAATATGCAATTAACAAACATGTTAATATAGACGAAATACACCAACTAATAAAAAGTAAATCAGGTGACCAGAAAGTTTAAAATCCAAGTCAGTAGAAAATGGTCAATACATATGTTATGAAGATGGTTACCGGGAGACGCAATTATATCACCACTCATGAAGAAATTTAAATCATTTCACTTTATGCTGAAAATTGCGCTGACACGGGATTTTGTTCATAAGGTGGACGACGAAAGCTCCGGAACTAAACCAACCAATCAACCAACTCAGAGAACACTATTAATTGCAAAAAAAGTATTGTTGTTATCCTAGTCGACTTATGTTTAGGACTATTATTAACAGTTAAGTAGAATATGACGCTGTATGCCATCCTTCTAAATGGTTTGCACACTAATGAAGAGTCCTAAACTAGGACGAGACGTCTTTCCAGTCCCTTCTGGTCTTCAGTGACTCTCTAAATGATGTTAATTCGTAAAGGAAACTACACTGAATAGAAGCCCTTAATTACTAATCACCGAATCGTGAGTGCAAATCGATAATCAATCAAATTTCAAACCATCGATTACTAATTCCATCTTGGTGTGCGCTAAAAAATAATCATCATGATCCGAAGGCTGCTGGTTCTAATCCCATTGTGATGTTTGCCTTTGTTTAGTCTTCTGTTGTCATCGACTATCATCATTATTAGGAATATCTTCGTAAAACGTACTAAGTTTGTTTGGAAAACTATTTCCTCCATTTTTCCTGCGCACACACATACAGACTGACTTTTAATACATCAAGAAATGAACTTGGATCACATTTCCAGCAACCACCTGTGAGAATCAACTGACTGTATGTACTGACATAAGAAAATGTTCGTTTCTGTCAATTTACTAGAAGGTCGTATAAGAAATGTTTAGTATACCACATACTCTATTCCGATTTCGCCAAGTTTATAGTTTGGCAGTTTTAATTTCAGGGTATACCTGATCCCTTCAAAGTGGACAAGACCTCTCCTCAAAAAATATTCTATACTTTGAAGCAAAGAAGGCCACAAGTGTTTGGCTCTTTTTTAGGCTGAGAAATGTTTTTAATAGACTTTTACAGTCACAGAAGTTTGAAACAACTGACTAATTTCATCTTGCGGTTATTTTTTTATTCAAAACTCTTATAAGTTTATATTTCTGAAACGAATCAATAAGTGCAGCAGTTGGAAATGTTGTCACCTGCTTTGTAATTTAGCCATGTAGACTGAATTAGTAAGTTGGTCGCACAGAGGTTATGACTCTCGCCGACCATGCACATGGTCCAGGGTTCGATCCCCTGATATCTATGGTCGGCCTAAAAATCCCATGCGTGTACCAAAAGCACGGTGTGAAATCAAGCTGTAATCAAAAATACAAAAATAAATGCCATTTGGATTTATTCCTCTCAGAGTTAATGACATTCTTAACGGAACAGAGTTATCAGAAGTTAGTTGAAGGCAATCAGCACGAAATCTAGGTGCAAGGCTTCCTGCTGCTGCCTGCCTCCCCCTGTCTAATAAAAACAATCCTGAGTGTACCGTGAGTTACCTTTAGATTTAGTAAATGTGTATAGTCACAATAAAGCAGAAATGTGTTTCATTATTACGACATAACAATATAGCCCAGTTTCTTACCAGTAGTAGAGTTAGATAGTAATTTCCATTTCCTTAAGAATGTTCAGTAATTTTAAGTGTTCCATTATATGTTTGTTGGAAAGAATAATTGATTTTCACACCTTTGTTCGTTGAAATTTGACCGACATTTCATGTGCTATTGCATTTCATCCCGATATCCGAATGGTATTGCGCTTATCTGCTAACCTGGTGAACGGTACCAAACTAGAACAAAACTGATGTCGAACATTTCATTGTATCCAGTGTTCTTCCCATGGCTTTTTCTGTTCTGGAGAAAGTTTAATCTTAAATGAAGGTTTACATGATGGATAATGATTTTTTTCGAAATTTTGACATCTACCCTACATTGCAAAGCTTCACATTCACGTAAATTCTGTTGCGTAATAGCTAAACAAATATGTATTAAATCATATTTATTTTTATTTTATTTATTTTTGATTACAGCTTGATTCCACATCGTATTTTTGGTACAAGTATGGAATTTTTAGCATGGATATCGGTAGTCCAAATTTTGCAGGCAGACCATAGATGATGGGTGTGCGTCGGCAGGAGATCGAACCTCGGACCATGTGCATGGTCGGCGAGAATCCTAACTTTATGTTAAGCTAGTTGATAGATCTATCCTGAACAATGTTTATGATAATGTGCGGAAGTTGTGGTGGAGTTTATTCTATGATGTTTTCTCTTCGTTCAGGACCTTCATATTAAGCATTCATTGACGATAGATCATGTGACACAATGCTGTCAAACCTGAAGGGCAAACCATCTCCAACTTGTCTCCTTCAGAAAATGGCCGGAAATTTGGGGGAAAGACAATTATAAAATGTGCAGAAGTAGATTTTCAGGTCAAAGAACATACATTAGGAACCGTAATTTCATGTTATTAAAATTTAATCGGTGGAAGATGACTAACAGTGGAATCCAGGATGCGCATTTTGCTCTATTTGGAACTCATCAGCTGGATGTACCTGCATTCCCCTGTGAGTGATGATTTTCCCACCGAGGCTTGAACGCAGTGGCCATAGGTTCAAACATCATCACTCACTGGGGAATGAGGTATATCCAGATGACGAAATGCGCATCATGGATTCCACTGCTAGTCACGATCCACAAATGTAATTCTGATTACCTGCTCAGACATCGTCGAAGTATCTGCATAAGAAGCCGACATTTCAACCTGAGACTGAGAACTTCGGTCCAATCAATCGACGGGAAAATCTAAAATTCAATTAAGGGAATTTCATGTTTTGAGATATCTTGCCACTCAAGAGTACACTTTTTCTCAAGTTTAGAAGAAATTTGTGAACCAACTGGTTGCAAACTTTATAAATACTCGCCAAAGTAAACAAACCTATGAGCGATCATACCTTAATAAATTAAGACAAACTAGAAAAGGGGAATCATACACAATATATTGATAGAGGGTTTCGGTAGACCGAGTTCTATGCAGGCTGCCGTTGTATATTTTTCGCTATGATAAAGAACGATCTAAGGTCTAGTATTATAAGGGAAGTGTTTGTGGTAAGTGAGAAACCCTATTTACAGAAAATAAGGTTCATGGTAGTACAGTTGACTGTTACAAATTAGTTTATGAAAGCAAATAAACCCATGCACATGTAACCCAATTTTGAATGTACTCAACTATTAATTTAGTATGCCTGTCAATCAAATGTTAATGTTAACGTTTTTTCTTATTTATTCAAGGGTACAGCAGTTTATCAGTCAGAAGAAGATGATGGTGAAGATGCCGATGACAGTGAACCAATACTAGTAGATCCATCATCACAGGCTGGTCTAAAAGCAGTTCGTAGTGATGTAGAAGAACGTGCACTTGATCCAAATCATAATTTTTTCGTTCTTGTTGATGATGGGACAACAGATCAATTAAAAGGTAAAGATGCTGAATTCCGTGCACGATTTGAACGTTGTATATCTTTATGGAGTTGTGCAAGTAGTTCTCAAGAGCAAAGTACCACTGGTGCTAATCAACAGAGTGGAGTACCAGGTTCTACAACGCATTTACAACAACCTCAAAGTGGTGTCCCTTCATCTTCGCCTAGCAGTAATACTAATCAGACTACAGGAGCACTACAAAGACAAGGCAGTACTATTGCTGGACAAACTAGTACAACATCTGGACCACAGACTAGTGCAACATCAATTGGTAAAAGTTCAGGTACTACAGGCGGTTCATCGAGTAATTCTGCTTTAGGCAGAGGTGCAACAGAACAATCAGGTGCACCTGGTGCCAGAGGAGCAAAAGATAAACCCAATGCTGATCCAAGTGTTAGTAAACCGACTAAAAGTGGAAAGTCCGTTGGCAGCGAAGAAGATGTTCTTGTACCTATGTGTGGCCTAGTTGTTGGCGGAGATCGATTCACTCTACGCCAAGTCTATTGTTCCATGATACGAAATCGCTGTCCAATTGTCGTTACAAAGGTAATAACTAGGAGGTTATTCAAATTTTTGTTTTCATAGTTCCTAAAAATTCGTTTTTTTATGACTACCCTTCGCTTCAACTCAGGCAGATTAGGTAACTTCTGTAATTTTTCGAAATACGGTAAAGGACGATGATTAAACTCAGTGATAGGTTATAAGATATAATCGATGTTGCGGCGGAAAGTCCGGGAGTAAGTGAAATATCTGCATTAATTATAAGTGTACAGTGATAATTGGGCAAACTTTCAGAACAGGTAAATCTTTTAAAGTCTAGCTGTAAATCAGCAGCCTGATTCCATCAGAGTAGTGGCATAAACAACTAAATGTCTAATATTCTGCAGCGCATAACTCAAAAATAGCCAACTACAAAGGAGATCAATTATTGTACTTTCCCTGTTATGTTTATCCTGTACGAGAAAAAATAAAATATTTGAGGAAGAACCAAAACAGATAGTTAATAAACTATCATTGGTAATATGTTCAGGTTCTATTTCCATGAAACTAAGGGATAGCTCTTCCTTGAATTCAAATGTTGGTTTGTAGGGATTTGATTGATTTACAGGATTTCATCATGAGCTGACATTAGTTAGAGAACCATTGGAAAACCAGCTGGAGTACTGGACAGCTGTTTCGCCCTAGTTTGGCACTCTTCAGTAGTACACACCCACCGGGATTCGAACCCAGGACCTTCTGTTTACAATGGTTCTCTAACTAATGTCAGCTCATGATGAAATCCTGTAAATCTTTTTTGAATATTGGCGTGTGGCATACATAAGAAAATAGATGGGCAAGAGGTTAGGAAAATATGCGGAGAAGATTGCCCATAGTCTCTCACATCCTCCTTGCACGATCTCCTCCATGCCACTAATATAGCAACGCCTAACTCGTCGTTTCCTTTTCAGCTTCCACTAGAAAAATTTTATTCAAAGGTCTCCTCAACTTGTGTCCAATCTATCTCCGTTCTCTTCGGAATATTTATCGAGCCATATGTTCTTGGTTAGCTCCTTCCCAGAGTTGCTTGTTACTAGTTTTTTTCTGGCCAACCGGCCATTTGATCTTCAATATGGAGCTAGTGTAGGTAACTGTTAATAAAAGTCTATGGTGGACCCCTGGAATCGGTTTCCGCGATGCGCGTATTGAGTTTTTGACCCCTTAAAAAGAAACAACTGACATTATTTGTCTTGAAACTTAAAGTCTCGTCCATTATGCTGAATGCAGAAGATTTCCAAACTGCTTTTGGACTGATGAATGTTTACCCTGCCTTTCTGATTTCGGCTTTGACAACTTCATCCATTCCAAAGCCTGTAGTTGAAACTATGCTTCCTAGATAAGTGGGGGGAAGTGACCTTTTTCCACCTTCTTCCATTGGTGTTGAATGGCACCTATTGTTGTTTCTGTTGTTTGACGATCTTCATCACGTATATCTTCTCTATGTTCACCTGAAGTCCTGACTGCTGATTCGTCAGCTAGTTTGCTGGTTTTAGCCTATGTGTCTTATTGTTTATATGATTTCGGATGTCACACGCAGTAATCAATAGTTCCTCAGTATGGTCTACAACACATTTGATCATTTTAAGACAGTTTCCACTACATACTGCCGTTATTGCAAACTCTACTGGATATCTTTGCGGTAATGGTTCACCGACGGAGAGGGCTCTCGAGTGGTTGCGCCACAGGTTGATCCTGCATGCCGTTCTCGTCTCGCATGAGGCAAGGATGCGTGTGTTTGGTTCTCCTGAAAACCAATACCCAGTCAATGGGTGTATCGTGGTGTGAAAGTGCGTCGGTGGTATAGCGGTTAGGAAGCTCGCCATCCATGCGCATAGTCTGGGGTTCGATCCCCGGCCGGCGCACTCCTTTACCTCGCTAAGCCAGAAATAATCCTGGTAAAGAGGAAAGGTTGGGCATGAGGCTAGAAACCCAATTCTGTAAAATAAATAAACACTGCTACAAAAAACTTCAAGCCACTAGCTTGAAGCCCTATGTTCCACTGGGGACGTGAAGGAAAAATTATTTTATTTTAATGGATACCAGTTCGCATGAAATCTCCTACTTCTAATATTTCGACTTATTATTATTATTATTCGACTTAATAAATTCGGTTGGTGAGTTTCAGCAAACGATAGAGCTTAACTGAAGATTGTGATTTGATGTATTAACGCAATGCATTTTGAACAACCTCATCAGAACATCATTCATATGCAAAATGTGTGACATCAAATAAAATAGACAAAAAAAGGGAAATTTAAGACCAGAATCATATAAAGATTACCTAAGTAGATTAGAGGTGACATTATATTATGCTCATACACACAAGAGAGAATGGAGCTAATTTTGTGGATGCCTAACGTCTTAGCACAGCTTGATACGCGCCTCTGTTTGTCTTTACAAATATGTTTTTGAAAGGTGCTTAGGTATCGGTCTTGTCATTTCTAGACGACGCTTACAGTCGGTTGCTTTTGTCTATCTAGACTACTAAACTCAGTTATTTTTCAAGCTATATGTGTATATGTTTCCCCGCTTTCACGAACTTTATGTTTAATTTTTTTAAGGGTACTTCTGGAGCTGCAGACGTGATAGCATTTGGATTAGATGCAGCAAATAAAATGGCTTCAGAAGAAGTTGTTGACGACAAAGATCAAGTACCATTAGAAGCCAGGTAATCTCACCTTACCTCTCTTTTATTATAGTTACTTGTTCGTCAGACAGAATCTTTTTAAAACTGTTATATTAACGGTTCTAAGACTATTTAGGAACATCACAGCTACTAGTCTTTAGAAGAAAACCTTTAGGGGAACAACGCTATTTTTGAAAAGACATCTCCTCAATCTTTGAAAACAAATATTTAATGAAACGACTAAAACCGACTTCTTGTAGCCTCAACACAAAAAACCAATCTTTGAGTTCTACCGTCTAGCGAACCAACCATACATGAGTCACACACAGTTATAAAACACTCTAAAGACAGTAAAAAGACACTTATCCACCGTGAAGTCTGTGGTTTTTTGTTCAACCGCAGTTAAATCGATAACTCAAATTTACCACAACAGTGCCTTGAGATCAAATAAAAAATATTCCTAACAAGTTGGGATCAAACTTCTGTTCACAAGAATCACACATCAGTACTTTCCGCAAACAGTCCAAGGTTGGAATAGCATTGAACCACTGAAACAAAATTATATTGTAAAGTAACACGTTGTCAATATCATCATAAAACCACAAAGTGGAGCATTAAAATTTGACATTAAGCAAAAACAAAGGTAAAATAATAGGGACTAGGTTTAACAGTTGATATGAAAACTTCAGAACAGTCAAGCATAGCTTGGAATAAAAGTGCAAAGTTGGTCGAAACGTTCAAATAAGTATCGACGACATTTTAATTGCGCAATTGTATAATTATTGTAATGATGCAGTGAGTCACAATCGTAGAAGTAACACGACGGTGGCAGATTAAAAAGGCAGAACTAATAACCTAGGGAGACTGTAGAGAAGTTTCAAAATGAAACGAAATGGCAGCCAATGCCCCTTGACTTTCACACGGTTCTTCACCCCTATTATTCCTTTCATGCTGAAATCTAATTTAATAGATGTATTTTTTATTTTTTTTTAATTTTTGATTTACAGCTTGATTCCACACTGTATTTTTGGTACATGTATGGAATTTTCAGCATGGATATCGGTAGCCCAAATTTTGCAGGCCGACCATAGATATCAAGTGTGCGTCGGTGCGTGCTCGAACCCCGGACCATGTGCATGGTCGGCGAGAGTCCTAACCACTGTGCCACCGACGCACTATAGGACTGATCCCTAGAAGTACGATGTATGTGATGAAAGTATTTCACAAAAGAAGCATTACACCTAATAATAGCTAAATTACTTATCCCTATGATAATATCGAAATTGTTAAATAACTCATGAATTGTTCGCACTATCTGCATTATTTTTCCCCCTTACAGAATAGAATCAATCATCGAGGAGTTTCTTAGCGATCTTCATCCAGACTATACAAATTATACAGATGAAGTGAATATGTTATGTGAGATAATTAACGATTATACAAATTTGGTGTCAGTATTCGATATGGAAGAAGATTCGGATCTTGATGGATACGTGATCTCATCTTTACTTGCAAGCGGTAAGTAAGCGGCATGTGTTGTTTTGCTCTTGCTTACAAGTATAGTGAAGGTTCTTCTAGAATTTTTAATTTGCTTCGTCTTATCAGTCTTTCCTTGCTCATCTTGAATTTCAGATTTTCCCGTCGATTGATTGAACCGAAGTGCTCAGTCACAAAAAAACATGTTGGCTTCTTTTGCAGATGCTTCGACGATGTCTGGCCACGTAGTTAGAATTTAAGTGGTGGATGGTTACTAACAGTGGAATCCAGGATAACGAGCATTTTGTCCTCTTTGAGATTCGTCTGCTAGCTGGATGTGCCTGCATTCCCTAGTGAGTGATAATGTTTCCACCGAGGCTCGAACCCAGTGCCCATAGTTTCCAACTCCAAAGTGTTATCCACTAGACCACTTGGGCCACGAGAGCCACTTCTTGTGTATCACCTTCCTTCAGTGATGAACAAATGCGGGGAAGGATTAGTATTTGTTTACATGTTTGAACACTGAGTTATTGGTTAAAACTGGAGAATTTCCTTCCACAAGACGTTGCAATTCGGATGTGCGATGTGCAGTATTCTGATTATTTGATAACACTAGAAACTAGAAGACAGAACAAGATTAAATGAAGAAAATTTATGAAATTTGTAGTCATGTCTTAGTAATCATATACTTATCGATTTATTCCTTAGTAGTTTATTTCGCTAAGAAAAATTCGTTATGGAACCGTTGAAAATCGAGAACCAATGCAGACGTGAGAGTAGTCGTTTCGCTTAGGCTAGGCAGGATGTAAACAGTGACTAAATTAGGCTATTCCATCTCATAGCATGTAAAGTACTTGATGCATTGCAATGTAATGCCGTCATCTAGGTCAAATCATTAACTAAGCATTTCTGACTCCATAGTAACATCATTCTTATCTAATGTGCATTTTGTGTTAAGTAAATTTCATTGTGGTTTACTTTTTTCCACTATATTTTAGCTGGTTCAACGGTTGCATCAGATCAGATTAATTTAGAACAGTTGGAGATCACACTGACACTGAATCGTGCAGATATTGCACGTGAGAAAATATTTTTAGAAAATAAAAAATGGAAGGTGAGTGATGGATGGCTTTATATTTGTTATAGTGTGCTGTCATTATTCATGTCGTGAGTGATTGTGAAATGATTCCTTATTATTATTACTATTATGGTATCATTGTTCCCTTGGGTTCCGAGTGGATATAACGGCTCCAGCAGCAAATCTGTCCTGTGTCCTATTATCTGTGGTCCTCTTCGGCCGGCGACACGATTTCCCAATAGGCTCCCATATGCTTCTCACGTTATGTTTTTTATGTCACCCTCACAATGACTTCCAATTCGTCACTTCCCATTCGGTTACCCATCGAGCCATCGCCTAGTTTTCGACGATATTCCACGGTCTCCTCAGTGGTGTGTGTCTGGCCCATCTATTTTTATCTTCTTAGTCCGTTTCCAGAGTCTCTTATTGTGACACATCGTCTGATTGACTTCCATCAGCCTATATCATTTTGTTTCTCAAGCCAACAAATCTAACCATATTTACTTTGCTCTAAAGAATTTTCTACGCATAGTTAAAACAGAGACTTGGCGTGAGCGTCATGAAGAGCATTTACAACAGGCTACTGTAGACTTTCATCAACAGTTATTCGCTTCACCCTACACTAAAGATCAGATGACCAACTAGAACGGATAAGTCACAAGTAAATCCAAGAGCAAAACAACCACGAACCTCTCGATCAACAAGTTTACTGAAGAAAATAGAGACGGGTAGTCCGATGGAATTGAACACCAAGCTTTCTCATGGAACCCGAATGGGAAACAGCTAGATGAGCTTTTGTGCGTAACATGGTGGAGGTTATGTGCGGATGAGATGAGATCTTATAGGCAATCGCAGAGCCAGATAAATACGACTGAAGTCCTTTGGTGCATTGAAAAAAACCAAGGAAATAGTCAAAATAATATAAATACGAAATAATTTAGAAAGGATGTAATCATCTTGTGATGGAAAATATTAAGACCCATAATTCTTAGTAACTAAGTTTATTATTCTTAAGGAAAGAGCAATATACCAGAGCGGAATCTCCTTAGTCTCTTGAGGATATGCATATCTTAAAAGCCACCTGATTTATTCGTCATAGAAGGCAATAACTGTGCTGTTGAGCTATCATCTATTCCTTTTCTGGCAGCCAACAGAATCTGCTGTCCAATACTAGGTATTAGTCAAAATCTGTCTACCAACTAGGGACCATATATGCATAGAGTGTCATGCATACTTTGGTATACTATACTTTGATAGACATGGTTTCACTTTCCAAATTTCTGTTCCATTTAGTGGCAAATTTTTCGGAATGAAAGACAGGCCAATATCTACTGTTTAGCTGAGTGAATTCGCTTCAGTTACCAATGTTTCGACCTCTAAATTATTAGGTTTTTATACTTCTTTACTTATACTGGTAACTATAAAGAACAAGGTTACTTCTGACAAAAATTGCAAAATCTATAATGGATCCTTACCTTGGAATCCGAAAGCACTAACACTTAAGAAGACTTCAAGTGAGCCTTTAGTGGGTAGGTGTTTGGACGATCGAATCCTTACCGGTTACTCACGTGGTTCGGGTGCAATTTTCTTCTGACACGCTCCTAAACCACATTATACCAGTAGTACTACTACTACTACTACTACCGATGAGGAGGTCAGTTTGAACGTGTGACTAATCACCCCATCCTGTAAAAGAATCTCCATAGTTCCACCCAGAACGAAAAACAATGATAAGAAAGAAAAGTGTTTGATTTTCTTAATCTCTTATTGACCTGTATGCTTCTGAAAAGTGCTAAAAGTGGACGAAACGCATTCTGTATATATTTTTTTTCTATGACATTCATCTCATTCATTATTCTGTTTTTTCTTAATTTTTCTTGTCTTTTTCTCCCATAGAAAGGTCAATTGAACGATTACATGTATCAAGCATTGATGAGTGATAGACATGACTTCGTCAAATTATTCTTAGAACAAGGTTTCAGTTTAGAAGAATTTCTTACAGTTTATATGTTGGAGAAATTGTATACAGATCAGTTGAAAAATTTGGTAACTTGTTTTTTTTTTAATTTTTCCCTCTAATACATGATGTATTTTTAATTGTAGAATTCAAAAGTAGCCATTTTCAATAAAATGTGGGAGTACAATCGATCACATCGGGTTAGTTTATTGATTATAAATTTTTAAAATTATTATCATTATTATCATTGAGCATAATTATTTGACATCTTTTGTATGATAACAAGGTGTTTAATAGCAATCAATCACTTTTGAGTCGGTGGCATAGTGATTAAGATGCTCTCCGACCATGCACATGATCCGGGTTCGATCCCCAGCTGACATACTCCTGTACCTCGCTAAACCAGTAATAAGACTGGTAAAGAGGAAAGGTTAGGCATGACGCTAGCAACCCCATCCTTTAAAATTAAACATTGCTACAGAAACTTCAAGCCACTAGCTTGAGGCCCTATGTTCCACTGGGAACGTGAAGGATTTGAAAAAAATAATAGCAGTTAAACACTTAGGACTTAACTGAACAATAAAGCCTACCTACTGAGTGCTAACTGGTACCATCTGACCGTCTAAACTTTAGGGAATGATAGTGGCGGTACGAATGTCTAATTTATTGAACTAAATCTCCTTGCTGGGTAACAGTTGCTGTTGTCTTTTGCCTTTAAATTCAATTTTGATTGATTGCAAGGAAATGATTAGCTTCAGTTGACCTGTCAGCTCCTGATATGGACGTTTCGACAGTGTCTGGGGATTGACTTGTAGTAATCTGGTGAATGTTCACCCGAACATTAATGTCTAATTAATTAAGGGGGAATTCGGAATAATTACTGAGGTGGCTTTCGTGGCCAAAGTGATCTGGTGGACAAAGTGTTGACATTTGAAACGATTGTCTAAGGGGTTGGAGTCTTAGTGGCTGCGTAATCAGTCGTTGAGGAATGCAGGTATATCCACTACCTGACGAGTCCCAAATAGGGAGAAATATTTATCCCAGTTGGAGATAGCGTTTTACTTGAGGTTCGACACCAGCGGTCATCGTTCCGAATGCCGGACTGTTAATGAGCCAACAGAAATGATGTATAGGGGAAAACTGACTGGCCGATATAACTAGTTGGATACAATTCATATCAACAAGTAATACTTGCTGGTCAGATTGTAGAAATGGTTTAAACATACCAGGTGGCGAGTTTGCATGTTTGAGACAGAGATCTTCAGCCGTGTGCATGGTCTGACTAATTTGGGATAGTCAAATCAGTTCAAATATCCTGAGAATGAAAAGTTAAATATTTAGAAAGGTAGTTATGATTCAGTTCAAGAATTTTCACCGGAGACTTGAATTTTAATATGACGGTCAACATCACCTGGTGTCTTATGATCCACTTGCGCTATAGAAAATTCCCCACCTAGTAGATTTGACTGATTTCTGATCTAATCACTATTCGCAACGATAACCGCCTCAACACGATGCTACAAACATGCGAGACAAGAATGGAAGATAACAGACAGAGCTTCCACTGCCTAAAATCAATCAGAGCAAAGGCTTAACAACAGTTCCATGTGTATAGATCCTTAAACGACCTTGAGAGTCATTAAAACAATTAACAACCAATAGAATTCAACCGTCATAAGAAGAGGGAAATACAAACATGGCAGTATTATGAATAAAAGTAATAACAGTTTAAATATATGAAAAAGTTAAGTATATACAACAAAAAGTCGAATTCAACAATTTTAGAAATAACCAAGATACTTGAGAAATCTTTCAGCGTATTGAAGAAATAACTGAAAGTTTACACTACTGATTAGAATCAAATAGGGCGAAATATGCATTAACCAAATAATATATTACGAGTATACTACTATTATTATTGTTGAGTTAATAGTCTTGAATGATTTTTTCGTTTGTGAAAACAAGTACTCATTTTTAGTACTATACATCTCATCAATCTGAATTGAGTTCTTCTCTCTACCGATATTTATGTAATTGTACCTCATTAATGCTTCGATAATTTCAGAGGAAAAAAGACTTTATATTTATTTTCTATAAACTATCTCTTTACAGCTGAATACTTTCTATTTATGTAATTGAATTTCTCTATCGACTGGGTATATACTCAATCTAAAAAAATGACAAAAAAGTATTTTATTTGTAGGATCGCTATTCATGCATAATCTGGAAGTAACGTGCACATTCACAACACCTAAAGACACACACACACGCCTCTATTCCATCTACAATATCTCGCTTACATGTTGAGAACAGCTATATATCTTTGTGTATACAGTATTATGTGTAGATAAATGCCTGTACAAGCATTGAAATTAGTATTTCAAATACTTGTGAACGCATTTAATAATGTCTCAGTTATATAAGTGGTATTCACAGTATAGTGAATATTAAGAATAAACTGTTTGCTATTTTGTAATCTATATTGTCACTTTCAAGAGTCACTGAGTAGGGCTATCAAGAAGTCGATAAAGTATGCTTGAATTCATTCATACAAATCTGATAATTTTCACTTTTTTTTCTGAAATTTGAGTGGCAGTCAAAACTTTGCTGTGTAAATATTTTGAATTTTGTTTTAATATTCAACGTTTCATGATTATTATCATTCGTCATTAAGGTGTATCTGCAACTTTTAAAGAATTGACGAGACCTGTATATTCCAGTGCTTTTATAATTAGTTGTCACTCAGTGGGGTTTTGAGGATTATATTTCAATAGGAGTATCGGCCCAGTGAAGTTCGAACCCAGGAGCTTCTAGTTACAAGTCAAACTCGTGAACCATTCAACTACCGGCATTAAATCTAGTGAACCGCCCATGAATTCCAACTTCTACCAATTCATGACGTTATTGAGACCACCGACTAATGTCACCGGCGAGTATTTGACTCATACTCTACCTCGTGGATCCCACTATCCATGACGTCTGTCTAGAACAGTAGGCAACTTCGTCCGGTAGGTAGTTACGAAGGCTAACTCTTCAACCTCCAACATGAGTGTAGTGTGGTTGCCATGGCTTGTCACTTAGGTATTGCAAACTTCATGTGATTAGTTCCAAGTAAGTAACGCAGATTTGAATCTAAAAGGAGACATCACTTTCCAGTAAGCATGAAATCTATTTCCACGGCTTTCTGTAGATTGTCTTGAACAATTTGGAAGCAAATAGTTCAATGAAAATTCAAAGTCATATGATTTAACATCTGTAGAAAAGACTGAGACAGATTCTTTCTAAGAAATACCAGCAAAAACTGTCGTTCTAGACTCTAAACAACGGAAACTCTGTGTAGCAACTTGACTGGAGTTAGACTTCATACAAGATTACATTCTTATCCAGTGAACATTGTATGGTAATATACCCATTTGCCGACCTGAATGTGCCAGACTCGACCCTTGATTGAGTTATAGGTAAGTGCTCTAAAAGGGTAACATAATTAGACGAGATGGTGGTTCTTCAAATAAAGTAGTAGCGATATTGATAATAATAATAATGATAACAATAATAATGATAATATTAGTAGTGATAATAATAATATTATTAACGACGACACTAACAATAAGCAACCTAAATCATCAGTAGTAATCCCATACAAGGAAGGAACCTCGGAAGCCTTATGCAGAATTTTAAACAAGGCAAGAACAATAAAAGTGGCTGGCGTTCAGACCCAAAAACTCAATTAGAAACATGTTTTGTCGGTTAAAGGATAAGTTCTGTGGAACCTTTAAAACAAAACAATTCAATTTATCTAATACCCTGCTATAATGATTGTCAGGTCAAATACATAGGTCGAACTAGTACAACATGGACAATCACTCTAGCTGAACATAAAAACTTAGCCAAATCTAGATTGGTTGACGCAAATAAGATAAGAAATCTAGAGAATAGTTCAGCTATTGCAGTCACTACACGCAACTGCACACAACCATAAAATAGACTGGATGGCATAGGATGACAGTTTTAAAATCTAATGTCACAGGGTGCAGGGAGAGATTAATAAGAGAAACTTTGTTTATCGAATCAACTGAGAGTGAATACCTGTAATAGGAATGATTCAACACCTTTCCAGTTGGATATCCGGAAAATTCTACTACCCCAACGACGACAAATAGGAGAAAACAAAGAAAACTATAAAACTCAAGTTTCAAAGTTGAGTGATTACAACTGATATGATTATGAACAGTAATAAATTTTGTTTGAAACCTTGTCATCCAGCAGATAATAATACTGTATCTTGACTATGTGATACATCTAGTAAACAAACTAATGTGGAATTACTTCCTACCACAGTAGTGGCCAAGTTTTACACATATATTGATGAAGAGGTTCATGACGATTTCACCTGAATCTATCCGAAATTCTTTTTACACTGTGAACATGTTGAGTAATAATAATAATAATGATTGTAACCATGTATTTTATAGAAATTAGGCAGAACAGTCTCCAAAGAGAACAAGGTAAATAGAGAATGGTAGAGACAGTAGTGTGTAATAGCTGTATTCAATATCCTAACAACAGTAGTGATATATGTACACATATATATGCGCTTATAAGTATGTAGTTTAAATAATATTTTTGAGCAGTTTTATGTCAGTTTGTTTGTTTTTTCTGTGTATATTTGTTCACTGCCTTGTATGCTACTCTAATGATATCTGTTATTTTAAAAAAAACATGCATGCACTTAAAAACTCCATCAGCTTGTATGAAATATTTCCGCGTGTGTATTTGTATCTGTGCGTCTGACATGTCTCTGTAAACTGTGGTATTACCTGGACAGTTTTCAACAGTCCACTGTGAACAGCAATGGAGCACATATAGATGCAGTCAGTCTGTTTTGTTACTCATTTTTTGATGTTTAATTGAATATGACATTTTTTTTTCAAAAATCCTTAATATTTCCGTTTTTGCCTTACTGGATTCTAAGGGAAAATACTGATTCTGTCGACTTTCCTTCTCTGCTTCTCTCGCTACATACTTCTTTCCTTTCTAGCGTATGTGATATAACCACGATAATTCTGCAGAATCATACTACCATGCATAATTAATTATATACACATAACTTTTAGGCTTAATTATCCTCTATTAATTAATCATTTATTGTCAGTTAGTCAAATAAAAAATAGTCATTTTCTTTGTTTATTTGCTTATTCAC